AATTGCTGGGTCATAATGTAGGTTTATATATAGTTTTTTTTAAGCCTTTTTTTTATGGAGGTACTGGGAAATTGAACCCAGGACTTCAAGCATGCTAAGAACATGCTCTACCACTGAGCTGTACCTTCACTGCCCCCAAAGCATTTTTAAATTGTAGTAAAATATACATAACATAAAGTTTACCATTTTAACCATTTTAAGTGTACAATTCACTAGCATTAAGTACATTTACATTGTTGTGCAACTATCACCACTATCCATCTCGAGAACTTTATCATCCCAAACTGAAAATCTGTACCCATTAAACCATAACTCTCCATACCGCTTCCCTCAGCCCCTAATAACCACTATGCTTTCTGTCTCTATAATTTGGACTGTTCTAGGTACCTCATATAAGTAGAATCATACAGCATTTATTCTTTTATATCTGGCTTATTTCAATTAGCCATAATGTTTTCAAAGTTTAACCATGTTACAGCATATATCAAATTTTCATTCGTTTTCTATTGTATGTGTACCACACCTTGTTTATCCATTTATCAGTCAATAGACATTTAGGTTGCTTTCACCTTTTGGTTATTGTGAATAATGTTGCTATGAAGATGGGTACACAAATACCTGTTCAAGTTCCTGCTTTCTCTTCTTTTGGGTGTATACCCAAAAGTGGAATTGCTGGATCATATGGTAATTGTTTAACTTTTTGAGGAACCACCATACTGTGTTTCACAATAGCTGCGCCATTTTACATTCCCACCAGTTACGCACAAGGATTCTTCTTTACCAACACTAATTTTCTGTTTGTTTGGGTTGTTTGTTTGTTTATGGTAATATTCATCCTAATGAGTGTGAAGTAGTATCTCATTGTGGTTTTGATTTGCATTTCCTTAATAATTAGTGATGTTGAGCATCTTTCCATGTGCTTGTTGACCATTTATGTATCTTCTTTGGAGGAATTTCTATTCAAATCCTTCACCCATTTTTTAATTAAGTTGTTTGGGTTTTTTTATTGTTGAGTTTTATGAGTTCTTTATGTATTCTGAATATTAATCCATTACTAGATATATTATGTATAAATATTCTCTCCCATTTTGTGGGTTGCCTTTTCACTCTGTTGATAGTGTCCTTTGATAACACAAAAGTTTTTAATTTTGATGAAGTTCTATGTTTAGTTTTACAAGAAACTACCAGACCCTTATTTTCAAAGTAGTTGTGCCATGTTGTACTCCCACCAGCAATGCTGAGCATTTCAGTTGCTCTATATCCTTGTCAACATTTGGTGTTGGCAGTCTTTTTAATTTTAGCCATTCTACTGGGTGTGTAATAGTACCTCATTGTAGATGTAATGTGTTCCCCTGATGACTAATGGCACTGAGCATTTTTTGATGTGCTTATTGGCTATTTGTAAATCTTTGTGAAATGTTTGTTCAAATCTTTTGCCCATCATTTTGTTGGTTTTTTTCAGTTTGTTTTGTTTTTTGGGGTTTTAATCATTTTTTTAAGTTGTAGGAGTGGCTGATATTTCTCCATTTCCTCATCTATAGGTAGCAGATGTGAATTCCTCTGTGATACCTGGGCTACAAGAAATGCCCAGCTCAGCCACTGTCCACCACGAGTCCAGAAGTGCCCTGGACTCGTAAGAGCTCATATATGTCCACTACCGACCGCCCAAGGCATATAAGATCCATGCCAGAAAGAATGAGGGGGATGCCACAGGAGGTGGGGTGGGAGGAGCAGTGAGGAGTGTCTAACACAGAGTGATTTGAAGGGAGGTAGCAGTCAGTGGCCCCTGGCAAAGAGGGGAGAGGACCAGCGAGCTGCAGAATATTGTCTGCATGGGAGGAAGGAGGGAGGAGGGGAGCAGGGGAGAGCCCATTAGCTCTGGAGCCAGAAAAAAGGGAAATGTAGCAGATATATAAGCCAAGCTGAAAGCTCTAAGCAGAACTAGTCTGTGAATGTCTCCCTGAGGACTGTCCTCCTGTGAGGTAACAGGGAGACAGAAACTTCCTGCTGTATTGCAGAGAACCCTGAAAAGCTGACAGTGACCCTGGTGCAGATGGAGGGCTTTCCCTCCACTGCCCTGCCCTGCCCTGCCCTTTCCAGTAGGGTCTTAGCTGTGGTTGCAGGCTCCATCCAAGGGCCAACACTCAATTTCGATCACATTAGAGAGGCAGTACCTTGGAGGGCCAACCCCTTTTATTATTTAATGCCCCAGTCTTAGACCCTAACCCTCCCTTGACCCCTCAGGGAACCAGCCCTGGGATGAAGAGGTTGCTGCAGATAGCAGATCTGAGGAATGGAAAGAACCAGAGTCTGTGATGACACCACTAGGTTACAGGCTCATTCGCCCTCTGGGTATCCAGTTACATAGTCTAACCTTCTATTGGTTAAGCTACTGTTTAACTAGGGTCTCTGTTATTTGTGCCCATGAGCATCCTGATAAACTGGGAAATAAATAATTTGTGTAACACAACAGGAGAAACTAATAGAAATTACATTCTAAACAGAGAATACACATTCACAAAAATTGACCCTAGACTAAGCTGTAAAGGAAATCTTAATACATCCCCCCACCCCAAAATAATACACTGACCATCTTCACTCATCACAGTTCAGTAAAATCAGACACAAAAAACAAAACAGAATGATAGCCAAGCAAAAAACCTCAAACCAACCATATGTCTAGAAAATTTAAAACAGACTTGTAAATAATTCAAGTTAAAGAGATAGCAGGGCCAGAACCTAGATTTCCAAATAACCAATACAGTTTATTATCAAGCCCTTTTATTCATATTTGTTCTTAAACATTTGCTGAATTATATGAAAGGGTGGGAAAGTGGTAAGAGACAGGGAGACTGTGACAGACCAAGGTGGGCTGGGGAAGGGAGCAACTGAAGAAACTAGTTCTGTCCATCAAGAGACTGAAGGGATCAGACTGTAACCAGCAGCCAGGCTCAGCAAAGCCTAGACGCATCTACTGGTTTCAGGGATCTGGGCAGGAAACCGCCATGCAGGGGAGAACAGAGCCAGGCACCAGCACGCACGACAGGCTCTGGTGAACCCTGGTCCTGGGGCAGAGACTGCTTGTGACTCTGGTGCCAATGAGCTGCTGGTGCAGAGGGGGAGAGCTGGCTGCTGTGAGCTGTAAGGTCCAGAAACTAGAAGGAACCCCGGGTGGCTGTGACTAAACAATGCCAGGACACACCAGTAACATTTGAATTGTCGACTTTCTGGACATTAGCATCAAATGGTGCCCAACACCCAAGCCAGGAGGCTTGCCAATCGAATAGACATGGTGTTTTATCTACGCAGAACAAGCTAAACAGCATATTTGATAGTGACTATGCAGCAGATTACTTAGCCTGTATTTAGGGTTTACCTGGACTGTTAAGACCCCAATCACTTGTGGCCTCACTTATTCATGTTATTTGCCTCAGTAGATTAGAATGCAGTATAACTAACATTCATTTCTTTGAACTAGTGTCAGAACATCTGTTGGGCTGAAATCGTGTTTTTTTTTCTTTTAGTGTGAATTCATTCATGCCTTTACCACCCACTCATCCATCCATCCATTTAACAAACATCCAAAGCAAACCTCACACATCATAGATCCTTGGTGTTTCATGTGTCGCTGTTTACATCTCCTCTGATTACTTGCAGATGAGAAAGATTAAGAATATAGTTTGAGTTATTTTGGTGCTAAGCGAGATTCTAGAAAGAAACGTTCAGAGAGGAAAAAAAGGTTTTAAATAAATAAAAGGAAAAAGGAGGAAGAAAATGGGAAAAGGGGTGGGGATGCATGGAGAGGAAACGGGAGTGTCCCAGCGGAGAAGGGCGGGAATCTTGTTTCCTGTCTGAGTGGGTTTTATTTGCAAAGGGAGCCCCTGCGTCTGAGGGTGCCAAGAAAACCCGCCCACCCCAGGCAACAGGGAAGGGGCAAGATGTGCTGGGGGGCAGGAGTTGGAGGAATTTCAAATTTCTTAAACTCTACAGTCTGAATTCTGGTGTCAGAGCCCGGGCTATGTTCCTTCTCCCCAACCTACCACCTCCTCACCCGCCCTCCTCCAACACACACACAGTTTTCCTAAGAATTCTAAGTCGGGAAGAAAGAGGAAAGCGGGTTTCCGATGGACCTTCCCCTCCTCCGCAGCCACACACCCAGGCGCCGGGTCTCCCCGCGCCCCCGAGGATCCCGGCTTGGAGCCTCTAACTCTTGGCTGGAATCATTAGCCCAGGTCTGTCCGCCCTCCCCACCCCAGACCCTAGCTTCCTGAGGTCTTAATGCCCTGTTCTTCATCTGTAAAACTCTTCATAAATTGTCGTGTGACTTGAGTATGCCCCTAAAGCATGGAAGGAGCCCAGAACAGTGCCGGGCACCTCGTCGGTGCTCCGCCTGCCGCCTGCGGACGTAGGCGAGGGGCCGGTGCCGCCCGGGCCAGGCAGGCGGTCCCTGTCGTGCGCCCGGGGCCCCCGCACTGCGCCCACCGCCGCTCCTCCGGTCGTCTCCCGAGCCGGCCACAGGCAGAGCCGAGCGAGCGGCACCCAACAGATCTGGGGATGATAGCCTGCGCTCTGCCTTCGTGAGAGGAGAGGGCACTAACGTCAGCGGGGGCCTC